AGATTGCGCACATCGGAGCTCTCAAATCATGCGTGTCAGATCTCTTAGATCGTGTGCATCAGAACTCATTGATCGCCCAACACGATCTCTTAGATCGCGCATAAGATCTCTAAGATTGGGCTTCCAAGTGGCAATATTGCGTGCTTCTAAACGCCAAGATCGCTTAGATCACTCTGATCTTTCGCTTTAGATTTTGCATCTTGATCGCTCAAATCATGCGCATGAGAGCTATCTGACCACGTGCATCAGATATCGCGTATCAGATCTCTCAGATCGTATGCATTAAAGCTCTCGGATCGCATGGCTAAATCTTTTAGATCGTGCACATCAGATCGAGCACATTAAATCTCTCAAATGCACGCATCAGAGCTCTTTCATCGTGCGACCAAATCTCTCAGCTCGTGCATTTCTGACCGTCAAGATCGTGTTTATCAAAGCTCTAAGATTGCGCGGCTAGATCTCTCAAATCACGTGCATTAGATCTCTCATATTGTGTACATTAGATCTCTTTAATCGTGTGTATCAGAGCTCTCTGATCGCCTGTATTAAAGCTTTTTGATTGGTTGGCAAGCTTTTTCAGATTGTGGGGCCAAATCTCTAATATCGCATGGTTCGATCTTCAGATTGCATGTATCAGGGATTTGAGATCGCGCGGCCAAATCTTTCAGATCGAGCTTCTAAGCATCAAGATCGCACTTCTGAGCAACCACATCGCACGCTTCCAAGCATAAAGATTGTTGAGATTTCACACTCAGATCACTCAGATCTTTAGATTCAGATTATGCGTCTAGAGCACTTAGATTGGGCGCATCATGGCTCTCAGATTATGCCTATCAAATCTCTCAGATTACGTGCATCAGAGCTCTTAGATCGTGTGGCCAGATCTCTCATATCGTGTGCATCAAATCTTTTAGATTGCACACATCAAATTTCTCAGATCACGCGGCTAGATTTCTCAAATTACGCGTATTGGAGCACTCGAATTACATGCATCAAATGTCTTAGATCACGTACATCAGAGCTCTTTGATAATACAACCAGATCTCTCAAATTGCACAGTAGATCTCTCAGATCATGTAGTCAAATCTCTTAGATCGCATGCATAAAAGCTTTTAGATCGCGTGGCCAAATCGTCAGATCGTGCTTTTGAGCTCCAAGCTCGCACTTATGAGCAACCACATCACACGCTTACGAGTGACAAGATCGTCCTTACGTGCGCCTAGATCGTGCTTCAAATCTAAGGTCTCCAGCTCAAGTAATCTTCAAAATATTGAAGCCTGTTCCGAATTAGAGCTCTTAAATCGCGCGCATTAGATCTCTATAATCGCTCAAATCACTCTTATCTTCAACTTTAAATTGCAAATCCGATCGCTCAGATTGCGCACATCAAAGCTCCCAGATCGCATGTCAAGATCTCTTAGATTGCACAGTTAGACCTCTCAAATCGCACACATTAGAGTTCTTAGATCACGCTTTCAAGCACCAAGATCGTGCTACTAAGTGCCTAAGTTGCGCTTCAAAATCTAAGGTCTACAGTTCAAGTTATCTTCCAAATATTGAAGCTTGTTCTAAATCAAAGCTCTTCAACTGAGCACACTAGATCTTTTAGATTGCTTAGATCGTGCACTTAAATCATGATCTTCAGCTTCAGATTGCACATCCAGATCGCTCAAATCGCACGCATCAGATCTCTCAAATTGTGCAAATTAGACCTCTCGAATCATGCGCATCAAATCTCTCAGATCGTGCGTATCAAAGCTCTCAGACCACACACATCAATCCCTCAAATCGCGCACATCAGAGTTCTTAGATCGCGTGGCCACATCACTTAGATCGTGCGCATAAGATCTCTCAAATAGTGCACATTAGAGTTCTCAGATCGTGTGCATCGGACCACTCAGTTCGTACACGTCAAAGCTCTCAGATCGTACACGTTAGAGCTCTCAGATCGCACGTATCAGACCTCTCAAATCGTGTGGCCCGATTTCCTAGATCGTGCATATCAGATTTCTTAGATCACTTAGATTGTGTGCTCAGATCATTTTGATCTTCAGCTTTAGATTGCGCGTCCAGATCGCTAAAATCATGTGCATCAGAGCTTTCAAATCTCATGCATCAAAACTCTCGAATCACGCACATAAGAGCTTTCAGATCGTGCGGTCAGATTTCTTAGATCGTGCATATCATACATCTTTGGTCGCGCGTATCAAATCTCGCTCATCAGAGCTTTCAGATTGCACGTTAGATCAAGCCTCACACATTTTGATCAAACTGCTTATGTTCTCATATCAAGCTTTGTGCATTCTGATCGAATCCTTATGCTCTTAGATCAAGCCTCGTGCTTTCTGATCGAGCTCTTTGTGCTTTATGTTTTCTGATCGAACTCTTTATGCTCCCAGATTGCAAAGAGTTCTCAAGCTCTCAGATCACAAAGAGCTCTCGAGTTCTCAAATCAAAGCTCTTTGTGCTCTCAATTTGAGCTCATAAGCTCGCTCATTCTCTTGGATCACACGCCTTAGATTGTTCAGATCGCACCATCTAGATCAAACTCCTTATCTCAAGATCGTGTGCTTTGATTGTTCAGATCGCACGCCTCAAGCTCTTAGATCGAGCCCTTATTAGATCGTGATTAGCTTCTAGCTCTCAAATCGTGATCAAGTCTCAGCTCTGAGATTGCAAACAGCTTTAGATCGTGATCAATTCTTATATCTTAGATTGCGATCAACTACAATTCTAAGAAAAAACACATAGAAAACTTAAAATAGCCTCGAAACATGCCAAAACAGTGGATTCTGGCCCTGAAACGACCCTAACTGGGTATCACGTTATGACGACGTAGAGCTTGAAACAAGTTTTCCGTCGATATCTTACGAGCTCCAAAACTCTTCCTAGATCAAAAGTTATGGTTGTTTTAAATTGACATGTTCGTTTAAGGCCTTTGAACCATGCGTTTGGGCTTCTGATGCTCAACTCTCTCCAAGGAATTATCATTTGGATGTATCACTACAGTTATTAGGTCGCGATTAGCTCCCAGTTCTCAAATCGCGATCAACTCTCAGCTATCAGATCGCAATCCTAGTTTTCTACACCTGATCACACCAAGCATAGTTCGAGCTCTTCAGTTTGAGATTACAACCTATAGTGCGATAGCCATTCAGATCAACAGTTGAGTTTCTGAAGCGCAATTATGCACTCCAAAAACTGGGGGGCTTCTATTACGGATAAAAATACACTGACATTAGTCCCACTCATCAAAATGAGCTACTAGTCCCATCAATCAAAGTTTGGCAAGCACTTAAAGACAAAATAACATTAGTAATAATACTACACTTACAAACTCTTCTCACTAACTTTCTCTCATAAACGCAATGTGTCAGCTCGTAATTGGTCAGCTCACAATGGGTCATGCTTAACCAAATGCGAACTGACCAATTGTGAGCTGCCTCTTCAACATTTGTGAGAGAAAGTTGTGAGAAGTGTTTGTTAACTTATCTTTATTCTAACATTAGTTATCAAAACAAATCGACCTAAGCTGTTATTCAGAGCTTTTATATTAATTCTATCCCATTTTAAGATAAGGATTAGGGAAGGGTCCCAACAACTTGCAAAAATACTTATTATATTGAGCTCAAAGGAGCATATGAATCTCTTATATCATATGAGAGTTGGGCATACATATATCATCTCAATACCATAATCAACACTCATAATCATTTCACATATAATTTCTAAGAATCTCTTAGCACTTTGCACGTGCGAAGTCGTTGGTGTCAAAATCAAGCATCAACAAGATTGAAGTTTGATTGAGTGTATCAAATTATCTGCCAAAATTCTTTATTCTAATAGGATTTAAAAATAAAAAAATAGATTGCAACATATTTTCAAAATTATAAATGCTTAATAATTTGATAAGATATCTTCCAATGTATAAAGGGTGGAAACGGAAAATTAATTAGAGAATTAATCTTGAATATTATATAAGAAATTATAAATTTATATTCAATTTTAAAATCTAAAAATATGTAAATTTCATCTCGTTTTTATCTTTCAAAAGTTCACTAGATTTATACAAGTTTGCACACGAATAAATTCTGTTTATTCTTGCTGATATGAAATTCGCACCAACCTGAGAAAACTGATTGACCTTGATAGAATTGGAACTGATGTGTGCATGACTTAATGATAAACCAACAATGGATGTAAATATGCGTGATAATGCAAATGACACAAAGTATTTTTAATGTGATCCGACAAGTTAAAACTTGAGCCTACGTCCACTATTATCTTATTGCTTTTGAGTGATTACAAGAACAATATAATATGCCTTGAATAATTTGCTAATCCCTATCTAATCGTTGGAGGGTTTTATATACAAGTTTGAGATAAAGGAAAGAGAGAGAATATCGAGATAGCAATCGAATTTAAATTGCAACTTAGATATTTCAGTGATTGAACGCTAAGATCATGCTGTCATAGGTGTTAATCTTATCTCTTACTAAAAATCAGATATTTGAGCTTATCTCTAGTTTGTAGAACAACTGACAAAGCTGGTTGCGACTAGCTTGTGCTAGGTCAAGCTATCCCTCTCGACAAGCTTATGTTGGGTTGGACCAATGCTGAGTCGAATTGATTTTGGGTTGAATTATATCCTTGTGGGCTTCTGACTTCTACGAACTTAATGGAAAAATCAAACACAACAATTCTGATTGAATGTAAATATAATTATTTTACGTCTCATTTAATAAATTTTGAAAAGGTTATAAATTTACTAATTGGGAATTTGGGATTTTAATAGATAAAAGATAGGGCAATAACATCACTCGCAAGTCCAACCCATATATATACGCACCTGACGAAAATACCCCTCAAATAAACATTGATTTTAATTATAGATATTTGCGACAAAGTTTGAAAACTCGATTTTGATTTTGGCGGAAATGATCTCTAATTAAATTTAAATGAGAAAATAAAATAAAAAAGCACTCACTGAAATAAAATAACTACTCAAATTTAGAGCACACGTCATTGCCGTCAGTCCCTCCTCTCGCCGGCAGGTCACCATTTCTTCGAACCGCGTCGTAATCGTTCCTCGACTTCCGGAATTCAACAAATCCGGCGTGTATGTGTAATTTGGTTACGTTGTTTAGGGCATGGGTGATTTCAACAGTTGAATTTTTTTGTTTCGTGTTTTAAAGTAGTTGAATTGAGTTTGCAAATCAAAGGAAAGAATGGCTGTAGATACAAATTTTACAGGGTTTTTATTAGAGAAAGTTAAAGTGGAGGATCCATGGCTTCCTCCTAGAACTTGGGAATCCATCCCTTCCCAAAGTGGAACCTTTCTCTCTTCTTCTTCTTCTCAGAACCATCAGCTTCTCGCAGATACTTCCACAGTCTCCGTGAGTACTACTTTCTACTTTCTAAATTTTCAATTTTCCATTTAATAGACTTCGTTTTAAGAATTGGTTCAAATAGGTGCTGATTCAGTGGTTTAATTACCTATTCTAGCAACTTCAGAAGAGGTTTCTGACAAATTTTAGAGAAATTTATGATGATTTAAAGGGTGTCTTAATTAGAGATTCTTGAAATTTACCATAATTCTTTTTTATAATTATCACGACTGTAAATGCATTGTAATGGTAATATGATTGGCGTGGAGTTTAGACACCTGTAGGACAAGAATTACTACTGTCTTGTTGTGTTGTAACTGTATTTCTTTTCTGTATTATAATCATAAACATGAACTTTATGCTCCAGGAGGCAAGTTTGGTGAGGTTAGCTCTCAATGCACTGCAAGGTGTACAATCTTCTCTTGTTAGCATTGAGAAGCTCACTGCTGCATTCTCTTCTGATCCTGCAGATAGGAGCTTCCATCGAATTCCTAGTTTATGGAATCGGTCTTCTAGTACTCATGCTTTAAGTAAAATTCTCAAGTCCATTGGTTGCTCAGGTTTCTTGGTTTTTCTTCTTTGTGAGTTTGTAGATTATTTCAGAAATTCGGATGAAAGTTTGATGAGAAAGAAACCAGAAAAATCTGAATTATATGAAAAGAAAAATGATTGTGACAAGGAGGTGAAAGAGAAAGAGCAGCCTCGTTATAGTCTTGTCAATCAGGCATTTGCTGTTGCGGTGGAAAAGGTTTTAGAAGGGTACATATGTGCACTGGACACTTTGTATGCATCTGTAGGTTTAAGGCACGCATCAAAGAGTGTTGATTTGCCTTTGCATACATCTTCTGAAGAAGGATGCCTCACAAGTGTTGTGCATTCCAAAATCACGCTATTGGAGGTGTACCTGCACACAAAAGAATTAAGGACTCAAATTGAAGCTCTTGGAAATATATGCAACCTACTTGAGATAGCCATTTGCTTCTCTGAATCTTCTTTTGAGGATCTAAACGCTAAAGCAATCTTGGAATTTCACAGTTTTTGCAGAGGTGGAGATCTGCTTACTTATCTGTATACACAGCTACAGGTCAGCTTAAAAATATATAATTGTTCCTTTTCTTCTTTTTCATCTTCTAATCCTTTATATTCAGATGCTAAACTTAGTGTTGTAAGCTCAGATTTCATTTCAATATAATTCCCCTCTTATACTTACTGACCCTGTTTTAGAGTAGTGCTAAGAACACTCTTTTTCTCGCTCCTCATTTTCATTATGGCATGTGTATAAAAGACAAAAAATTGAAAAATAAATGATTACAATCCTTTTCCTTTTATTTTTCTTTTGTACGTCTGTCAAATGGAGAGAGAGAGTAAAAAAGAGAATGCTTTTAGCATTTCTCCTTTGCTTTGAATATCCCTTGACATGGTAATGCACTATCACATAGTAATTACTATGGTTGAGTTATGCTACTGTCTGAAGTGAAAGGACACAGACAGGACTATAAATTGGTGCATTTGTTTCTTGTTTGGACCTTCAGAGCCATTTCAATTTATGCTGGTCTTATTAAACATTTCAAGTTATCTGGCAATTCTCTTGATTGCTTGTAATTCAGATGTACTATTAATAATTGAATAAAATCTCTTCTGGTTCTGCAATCAAATTTCTAGCAATCCTCTTGCAGGTTGCTGATCCAGCACATCGTTCTCTACTGAAGTTTCTCTTGCTTCGGTCATTTGAACCGTATTTTGGTTTTATAAGATCGTGGATATTCAAAGCTGAGATCAATGATCCTTTTAAGGAGTTCATGGTAGAATATGTTGACAATTTACCGCATGATACACATGTTAAAGCAGACTTTGCTATCGACTTCCACTTGGCAACTTTTAGGGTAATGTATTTTGTGGTATTTTTAGGCAATAGATTCAGAGATTGATCTCGATTATTTCATACTTATAATATTCTTTTTTGATATTGATCCTTATTGTCGGCGACCCTTCACTTCAGGAGCAAGACGGAGTTTCCGTTCCTTGTTTTTTGAAGCAATTTCTTATTCCACTTGTCAGGGCTGGCCAGCAGCTTCAAGTATTAATGAAATTGCTTGAATTGTGTAATAGTGTTTTTCCTGGGGACCATACTTATATGGATTTTCTTCCCTGTTGGAGTGGTTTCTCCAGCGATCATCCATTTTATGCTTCTTCAATAACTTTCAACAAAGGACATATAGAAACCATGGTAATTGCAAGAAATGATTACTACAAAAAGATGCTGGAAAAGCTTGAAAATCTTTGGACAAGATTAGAATTTAGCTATCAACAGGTAACACATTGTTGTATTATTATTTTTTCTTCTTTTCAAATAAATTAGTGTGTATAAATATATAGATTATATATTTTTTGATTAATTTGTCTTATAATATTTGCAACTTGCCATGAGTGATCAGCCAATATTTGGTACCCCTGCCCCTTTCCCTTGCCCTGTAGCCACCTTCCTGCTCATGCTCATAGATTGATTAGAGGTCAAGAGTGTGATCCAGTGCAAATTACGGACGTCCATATCAATTGAGATGGCAATTGTGCAGTGTTGCTGTCTTGCTGACTGTTCAAGTTCTCCTTCTGCCTCTGGCTTTATTGTGTAGGCTAAATAGTGGAGGGATATACATCTTTAGACATAGGGGCAAACAGCCCTTCATAGAGGATTGCAGTCCTTTCGTACTAATATAAGGGGCAAGCAAAATCTACTGCTATCAAGTTTCTAGATTCTCAGTTGTTGCATGCAGTGTAACCATAAAAACAATAATGAGTATTGCCTTTTATTCGAGTTCTAGTTATGATAAAGCTGTAATCCTCCTGCTTTTGACCATGTGAATAAGTAAACTTGGTGCTCTAGCTGATTTTTTTTCTTTGTTTTATACAACAAATTATGATCTAGACCTCAGTTGTTGTTACTCACCATACAATGATGCATGGAATTGGAATGCTAATTTCAAAAGGAATTCGAATGATAGGGAAATTCAAGATTTTTCAAGCTTGTTAGGTTTGCTTGAAAATGTGATCATTAATGAGTTGAGGGAGGATAAACAAGTTTGCAAGTTTGATTCATTGGGTTGTTACACAGTCATGTCCTATTTTGTGAGATTATGTAAATAGAGTCCAGATGAGGATTTCAAACAATTCAAAATAATATGGCTGGCAAAAGTTCCCCCCAAAGTTCAAGCTTTTGCTTGGACCTTGGCTCATGGGGAACTAAACAGAGTAGATATTGTTCAAGTTAAATATCCTTAAATGAATGTCTACCCTTCTTGGAGTGTTATGTGTCAGAAAAATGAAGAAACATCTGATCACTTTCCTCCATTGCTCAGAGACATCTTTTTTTTTGGCTAAACTTTGCATTGAAATGAAACTTGTGTGGGTTACTCTGATAGATTGCCCTTCTTTTCTTATGGACGATGTTTCAGCTTATGGTAAAGTAAAGAAAGGAAAGGCTCTTTGAAATGTGCAGCTCTTGCTCTTTAGTCGATGATTTGGTGTGAAAGAGAACAACCAAATCTTTGAAGGGGAAAGGAGAAGATGATAGTTTTCTGTTGTTGAAAACCAGGTTTTTTGCTGCCCATTGGGTGTCTATTGCAAAAGATGTACACGATAGCTCATTTTTCTTCATTCATCATAACTGGCTAGGGGTTTTGAGTTGATGTGTTCTAGCGGCTTTATGGGCTGGTGTTATCTTTCTCTCTTTTGGTAACCATCAGCTTCTCGCAGATACTTCCACAGTCTCCGTGAGTACTACTTTCTACTTTCTAAATTTTCAATTTTCCATTTAATAGACTCGTTTAAGAATTGGTTCAAATGGTGCTGATTCAGTGGTTTAATTACCTATTCTAGCCTTCAGAGAGGTTTCTGACAAATTTAGAGAAATTTATGATATTTAAGGGTGTCTTAATTAGAGATTCTTGAAATTTACCATATTCTTTTTTATAATTATCACGACTGTAAATGCATTGTAATGGTAATATGATTGGCGTGGAGTTTAGACACCTGTAGGACGAATTACTACTGTCTTGTTGTGTGTAACTGTATTTCTTTTCTGTATTATAATCATAACATGAACTTTTAGCTCCAGGAGGCAAGTTTGGTGGGTTCCTCTCAATGCACTGCAAGGTGTACAATCTTCTCTTGTTAGCATTGAGAAGCTCACTGCTGCATTCTCTTCTGATCCTGCGGATAGGAGCTTCCATCGAATTCCTAGTTTATGGAATCGGTCTTCTAGTACTCATGCTTTAAGTAAAATTCTCAAGTCCATTGGTTCTCAGGTTTTCTGGTTTTTCTTCTTTGTGAGTTTGTAGATTATTTCAGAAATTCGGATGAAAGTTTGTGAGAAAGAAACCAGAAAAATCTGAATTATATGAAAAGAAAAATGATTGTGCAAGGAGGTGAAGAGAAAGAGCAGCCTCGTATAAGTCTTGTCAATCAGCATTTGCTGTTGCGTGGAAAAGGTTTTAGAAGGGTACATATGTGCACTGGACACTTTGTATGCATCTGTAGGTTTAGGCACGCATCAAAGAGTGTTGATTTGCCTTTGCATACATCTTCTGAAGATGCCTCCCAAGTGTTGTGCATTCCAAAATCACGCTATTGGAGGTGTACCTGCACACAAAAGAATTAAGGACTCAAATTGAAGCTCTTGGAAATTATGCAACCTACTTGAGATAGCCATTTGCTTCTCTGAATCTTCTTTTGAGGATCTAAACGCTAAAGCAATCTTGGAATTTCACAGTTTTTGCAGAGGTGGAGATCTCTTCCTTATCTGTATACACAGCTACAGGTCACTTAAAAATATATAATTGTTCCTTGTGTCTTTTCTTCTTTTCATCTTCTAATCCTTTATATTCAGATGCTAAACTTAGTTTTGTAAGCTCAGATTTCATTTCAATATAATTCCCCTCTTATACTTACTGCCCTGTTTTAGAGTAGTGCTAATACCTAGTTTTCTACACCTGATCACACCAAGCATAGTTCGAGCTCTTCAGTTTGAGATTACAACCTATAGTGCGATAGCCATTCAGATCAACAGTTGAGTTTCTGAAGCGTAATTATGCACTCCAAAAACTGGGGGGCTTCTATTACGGATAAAATACACTGACATTAGTCCCACTAATCAAAATGAGCTACCAGTCCCATCAATCAAAGTTTGGCAAGCACTTAAAGACAAAATAACATTAGCAATAATACTATACTTACAAACTCTTCTCACTAACTTTCTCTCACAAACGTAATGTGTCAGCTCGTAATTGGTCAGCTCACAATGGGTCATGCCTAACCAAATGCGAACTGACCAATTGCGAGCTGCCTCATCAACATTTGTGAGAGAAAGTTGTGAGAAGTGTTTGTCAACTTATCTTTATTCTAACATTAGTTGTCAAAACAAACCGACCTAAGCTGTTATTCAGAGCTTTTATATCAATTCTATCCCATTTTAAGATAAGGATTAGGGAGGGGTCCCAACAACTTGCAAAAACACTTATTACATTGAACTCAAAGGTATAAATAGACACCCCTCTTCATGGAAAAGGAGGTTGAGCATATGAGAGTTGGGCATAAATTTGAGCTTCAACCATTATTTTTCTCTATAAACAAAGCATTACCCAATCTTTATACGCCTTTCAATCGATATCAAAAAAATAATTAGAGAATAATAAAATAACAGTAGATATAGGATTTGCTTCAAACGTCCGAACTACTATAAAAAATCTCTTTTGTCAATATTTTATTTATGTTTCTTCAAATATATATCATCTCAATACCATAATCAACACTCATAATTATTTCACATGTAATTTTTAAGAATCTCTTGGTACTTTGTATGTGCGAAGTCGTTGGTGTCAAAATCAAGCATCAATAATATTGAAGTTTGATTGATTGTATCAAATTATCTGCCAAAATTCTTTATTCTAATAGGATTTAAAAATAAAAAAATAGATTGCAACATATTTTCAAAATTATAAATGCTTAATAATTTGATAAGATATCTTCCAATGTATAAAGGGCGGAAACGGAAAATTAATTGGAGAATTAATCTTGAATATTATATAAGAAATTATAAATTTATATTCAATTTTAAAATCTAAAAATATGTAAATTTCATCTCATTTTTATCTTTCAAAAGTTCACTAGATTTATACAAGTTTGCACACGAATAAATTCTGTTTATTCTTGTTGATATGAAATTCGCACCAACCTGAGAGAACTGATTGACCTTGATGGAATTGGAACTGATGTGTGCATGACTTAATGATAAACCAACAATGGATGTAAATATGCGTGATAATGCAAATGACACAAAGTATTTTTAATGTGATCCGACAAGTTAAAACTTGAGCCTACGTCCACTATTATCTTATTGCTTTTGAGTGATTACAAGAACAATATAATATGCCTTGAATAATTTGCTAATCCCTATCTAATCGTTGGAGGGTTTTATATACAAGTTTGAGATAAAGGAAAGAGAGAGAATATCGAGATAGCAATCGAATTTAAATTGCAACTTAGATATTTCAGTGATTGAACGCTAAGATCATGCTGTCATAGGTGTTAATCTTATCTCTTACTAAAAATCAGATATTTGAGCTTATCTCTAGTTTGTAGAACAACTGACAAAGCTGGTTGCGACTAGCTTGTGCTAGGTCAAGCTATCCCTCTCGACAAGCTTATGTTGGGTTGGACCAATGCTGAGTCGAATTGATTTTGGGTTGAATTATATCCTTGTGGGCTTCTGACTTCTACGAACTTAATGGAAAAATCAAACACAACAATTCTGATTGAATGTAAATATAATTATTTTACGTCTCATTTAATAAATTTTGAAAAGGTTATAAATTTACTAATTGGGAATTTGGGATTTTAATAGATAAAAGATAGGGCAATAACATCACTCGCAAGTCCAACCCATATATATACGCACCTGACGAAAATACCCCTCAAATAAACATTGATTTTAATTATAGATATTTGCGACAAAGTTTGAAAACTCGATTTTGATTTTGGCGGAAATGATCTCTAATTAAATTTAAATGAGAAAATAAAATAAAAAAGCACTCACTGAAATAAAATAACTACTCAAATTTAGAGCACACGTCATTGCCGTCAGTCCCTCCTCTCGCCGGCAGGTCACCATTTCTTCGAACCGCGTCGTAATCGTTCCTCGACTTCCGGAATTCAACAAATCCGGCGTGTATGTGTAATTTGGTTACGTTGTTTAGGGCATGGGTGATTTCAACAGTTGAATTTTTTTGTTTCGTGTTTTAAAGTAGTTGAATTGAGTTTGCAAATCAAAGGAAAGAATGGCTGTAGATACAAATTTTACAGGGTTTTTATTAGAGAAAGTTAAAGTGGAGGATCCATGGCTTCCTCCTAGAACTTGGGAATCCATCCCTTCCCAAAGTGGAACCTTTCTCTCTTCTTCTTCTTCTCAGAACCATCAGCTTCTCGCAGATACTTCCACAGTCTCCGTGAGTACTACTTTCTACTTTCTAAATTTTCAATTTTCCATTTAATAGACTTCGTTTTAAGAATTGGTTCAAATAGGTGCTGATTCAGTGGTTTAATTACCTATTCTAGCAACTTCAGAAGAGGTTTCTGACAAATTTTAGAGAAATTTATGATGATTTAAAGGGTGTCTTAATTAGAGATTCTTGAAATTTACCATATTTCTTTTTTATAATTATCACGACTGTAAATGCATTGTAATGGTAATATGATTGGCGTGGAGTTTAGACACCTGTAGGACAAGAATTACTACTGTCTTGTTGTGTTGTAACTGTATTTCTTTTCTGTATTATAATCATAAACATGAACTTTATGCTCCAGGAGGCAAGTTTGGTGAGGTTAGCTCTCAATGCACTGCAAGGTGTACAATCTTCTCTTGTTAGCATTGAGAAGCTCACTGCTGCATTCTCTTCTGATCCTGCAGATAGGAGCTTCCATCGAATTCCTAGTTTATGGAATCGGTCTTCTAGTACTCATGCTTTAAGTAAAATTCTCAAGTCCATTGGTTGCTCAGGTTTCTTGGTTTTTCTTCTTTGTGAGTTTGTAGATTATTTCAGAAATTCGGATGAAAGTTTGATGAGAAAGAAACCAGAAAAATCTGAATTATATGAAAAGAAAAATGATTGTGACAAGGAGGTGAAAGAGAAAGAGCAGCCTCGTTATAGTCTTGTCAATCAGGCATTTGCTGTTGCGGTGGAAAAGGTTTTAGAAGGGTACATATGTGCACTGGACACTTTGTATGCATCTGTAGGTTTAAGGCACGCATCAAAGAGTGTTGATTTGCCTTTGCATACATCTTCTGAAGAAGGATGCCTCACAAGTGTTGTGCATTCCAAAATCACGCTATTGGAGGTGTACCTGCACACAAAAGAATTAAGGACTCAAATTGAAGCTCTTGGAAATATATGCAACCTACTTGAGATAGCCATTTGCTTCTCTGAATCTTCTTTTGAGGATCTAAACGCTAAAGCAATCTTGGAATTTCACAGTTTTTGCAGAGGTGGAGATCTGCTTACTTATCTGTATACACAGCTACAGGTCAGCTTAAAAATATATAATTGTTCCTTGTGTTCCTTTTCTTCTTTTTCATCTTCTAATCCTTTATATTCAGATGCTAAACTTAGTTTTGTAAGCTCAGATTTCATTTCAATATAATTCCCCTCTTATACTTACTGACCCTGTTTTAGAGTAGTGCTAAGAACACTCTTTTTCTCGCTCCTCATTTTCATTATGGCATGTGTATAAAAGACAAAAAATTGAAAAATAAATGATTACAATCCTTTTCCTTTTATTTTTCTTTTGTACGTCTGTCAAATGGAGAGAGAGAGTAAAAAAGAGAATGCTTTTAGCATTTCTCCTTTGCTTTGAATATCCCTTGACATGGTAATGCACTATCACATAGTAATTACTATGGTTGAGTTATGCTACTGTCTGAAGTGAAAGGACACAGACAGGACTATAAATTGGTGCATTTGTTTCTTGTTTGGACCTTCAGAGCCATTTCAATTTATGCTGGTCTTATTAAACATTTCAAGTTATCTGGCAATTCTCTTGATTGCTTGTAATTCAGATGTACTATTAATAATTGAATAAAATCTCTTCTGGTTCTGCAATCAAATTTCTAGCAATCCTCTTGCAGGTTGCTGATCCAGCACATCGTTCTCTACTGAAGTTTCTCTTGCTTCGGTCATTTGAACCGTATTTTGGTTTTATAAGATCGTGGATATTCAAAGCTGAGATCAATGATCCTTTTAAGGAGTTCATGGTAGAATATGTTGACAATTTACCGCATGATACACATGTTAAAGCAGACTTTGCTATCGACTTCCACTTGGCAACTTTTAGGGTAATGTATTTTGTGGTATTTTTAGGCAATAGATTCAGAGATTGATCTCGATTATTTCATACTTATAATATTCTTTTTTGATATTGATCCTTATTGTCGGCGACCCTTCACTTCAGGAGCAAGACGGAGTTTCCGTTCCTTGTTTTTTGAAGCAATTTCTTATTCCACTTGTCAGGGCTGGCCAGCAGCTTCAAGTATTAATGAAATTGCTTGAATTGTGTAATAGTGTTTTTCCTGGGGACCATACTTATATGGATTTTCTTCCCTGTTGGAGTGGTTTCTCCAGCGATCATCCATTTTATGCTTCTTCAATAACTTTCAACAAAGGACATATAGAAACCATGGTAATTGCAAGAAATGATTACTACAAAAAGATGCTGGAAAAGCTTGAAAATCTTTGGACAAGATTAGAATTTAGCTATCAACAGGTAACACATTGTTGTATTATTATTTTTTCTTCTTTTCAAATAAATTAGTGTGTATAAATATATAGATTATATATTTTTTGATTAATTTGTCTTATAATATTTGCAACTTGCCATGAGTGATCAGCCAATATTTGGTACCCCTGCCCCTTTCCCTTGCCCTGTAGCCACCTTCCTGCTCATGCTCATAGATTGATTAGAGGTCAAGAGTGTGATCCAGTGCAAATTACGGACGTCCATATCAATTGAGATGGCAATTGTGCAGTGTTGCTGTCTTGCTGACTGTTCAAGTTCTCCTTCTGCCTCTGGCTTTATTGTGTAGGCTAAATAGTGGAGGGATATACATCTTTAGACATAGGGGCAAACAGCCCTTCATAGAGGATTGCAGTCCTTTCGTACTAATATAAGGGGCAAGCAAAATCTACTGCTATCAAGTTTCTAGATTCTCAGTTGTTGCATGCAGTGTAACCATAAAAACAATAATGAGTATTGCCTTTTATTCGAGTTCTAGTTATGATAAAGCTGTAATCCTCCTGCTTTTGACCATGTGAATAAGTAAACTTGGTGCTCTAGCTGATTTTTTTTCTTTGTTTTATACAACAAATTATGATCTAGACCTCAGTTGTTGTTACTCACCATACAATGATGCATGGAATTGGAATGCTAATTTCAAAAGGAATTCGAATGATAGGGAAATTCAAGATTTTTCAAGCTTGTTAGGTTTGCTTGAAAATGTGATCATTAATGAGTTGAGGGAGGATAAACAAGTTTGCAAGTTTGATTCATTGGGTTGTTACACAGTCATGTCCTATTTTGTGAGATTATGTAAATAGAGTCCAGATGAGGATTTCAAACAATTCAAAATAATATGGCTGGCAAAAGTTCCCCCCAAAGTTCAAGCTTTTGCTTGGACCTTGGCTCATGGGGAACTAAACAGAGTAGATATTGTTCAAGTTAAATATCCTTAAATGAATGTCTACCCTTCTTGGAGTGTTATGTGTCAGAAAAATGAAGAAACATCTGATCACTTTCCTCCATTGCTCAGAGACATCTTTTTTTTTGGCTAAACTTTGCATTGAAATGAAACTTGTGTGGGTTACTCTGATAGATTGCCCTTCTTTTCTTATGGAGGATGTTTCAGCTTATGGTAAAGTAAAGAAGGGAAAGGCTCTTTGAAATGTGCAGCTCTTGTTCTTTAGTGGATGATTTGGTGTGAAAGAGAACAACCAAATCTTTGAAGGGGAAAGGAGAAGATGATAGTTTTCTGTTGTTGAAAACCAGGTTTTTTGCTGCCCATTGGGTGTCTATTGCAAAAGATGTACACGATACCTCATTTTTCTTCATTCATCATAACTGGCTAGGGGTTTTGAGTTGATGTGTTCTAGCGGCTTTATGGGCTGGTGTTATCTTTCTCTCTTTTGGATGTTCATATTGCATCCATAACACAGTGTTTTTTTCTTTATTTTTTTTTTTTTTTGATTGAGCACTCTTGTAGTGTACACCTGGTCCACCAACTTTTTTTCCGAGTTTCAATATACTTGGTGTTTCCTTAAAAAAGAAAAAAACAATTATATAAGGATGTGTGTGATCTTCATTATTTGGAAATCCAGGCTGGCATGAATATAGGATTATTTTGCCTTCTGTTAAGTTTTCTGTTGAATATGATGTTGGTTAGGGTATTATAACGCATAAAATATCAAATAGCTCAGTAGGAATAAGTCACCATGCCATTTATTCCTTATGAATTGAGATAAAATTTATTGCTCAACGTCCGTGACATTGTTTGACTACTCAAAACATTGAAGAAACTTTAATTGCAATTTTATAACTTGCCAATTTATTCTCCATTTTTTCAAAACCTTCTGCTTTCCCTTTCACATCTTGACAACACTAAAATTGTATAGTGTTTGCCTGGAGCAGCCTGTAAGCCGTTTGTTCATGACTTATGGACAAAATACTAGAATTTTAGTTTTCAACAAAAGTAACTAATATTTTTAAATACTTTTTAACTATGAGTTTGTTATCATATTTTCTATTGCTTAAGTTACAACATATGTACGCCTTTATACCTGTCCCAACAGACTTTTGTGAGGGGAAACAAGCTACTGATTGGGTGCTTGTTACTCCTTTCCCCATTTCTTATGGCCTACAGAGAAAATGCTTATTTGTTATAGTGGTTCCCTTAGTTTCTTTTCATTAGATGTCATTTTTCAAAGGCCATTTACATGTAGAATTAAGTCACATGTGGGGTATATGGAGAATTAGAAGGAAATAGGTGCTTTTGCATCTTGTCTTCAGATTTTGGATAGTCAAACCTTTTGAAAGGTGTCGTGGTTCTAAAGAGCTAACTCTTTGTGGTTTATTCTCTGTAATAAGGGTTCAAGAAAGATTGGTTGCGTAAATATAGTCATGACACTGTCAGCAAGTAACCAGACATGCTAGTTCATTTACAGTGCTGCTTTATTATTTCTGTTTTCCTTGTTTTACACAAAGATTTTCACTTTTCAGGTTGCTCCATGCAGCAATACACCTATTTTAGTCGGTAGTGGAAGGAGCCTAGAAACTTCTGTTTCATTTGAGATGAATGACAGGATGAGTGTCCCTTTTGTGGCTGATGAAAGTGGCTCAAATGTGTAATCACTCTCTCTCTTTCTCTTCATGGGTGCCTGAGTGACTGATAATGTGTGGATTTCTCAATAGTGCACTTGGGTGCATTGCACGTGCATGTAAACAGCATTTAACTATGTGAAATTTTTTTGTTATATTCTACTATTCAACATCACAAGGGGCGGACAAGAATTTAAGACGTTATTTTGTAAATATGTGGTTGCATCATGTCCTTCTCTTTTTTTTTTTTTTTTTTTTTTTTTTTTTTTTTTTTTTTTTTTTTTTTTTTTAATGATTTGTTAGGTTTCTCTACATCTCAGGACTCTCGCTGATAAAGATTTTGATGACACCCATACGAAAGATGAGTTCTTTTATGCTGGAGATACATCTGGGTCATCTGAATGTTCATCTTTAAGTGATTCCGAAGGGCTGATTGAGTCTGAGCAGCTAACTGGACGTCCTAATAGTTTATTTGGGTTTGAACAAAAATACTTTTCTGCTTTAAGCTTCTCCATGAGTACCCCTATGGGTAATCCATTGCGAAAGCCTCTTCAAAGTGAAAAATCTTGCAATGTGAAAAGGGTTTCTTCTGAAATTTCCAAAATAAATGGTGCCCTTGGTCATTTTGTGCTCTCTCAGAACAAGGGAATGATTACAAGTGGCACATCTGAGCCACCGGAGTCTGGGGAGCTAAACTTGTCATTTAGAGATGTTCATTATACTGATAGCCAACCTAATAACTGTTGGCCACTTGGTAGCCTTATGAAAAATCCTTTTTGTGTTGAGGGAGGGTACAGACACCCTGAGTTGCACCCATTGGACTCTGGCCTGAAGGTTTATAATGCAAATATGGGTGTTCCTAAGGAAGGTCTGTCATGTTATAATAAACTAACTGGCATGAACAATGCTTCAATAGAAGAGACCTTAGGTGAAGATCAACTTGGAAAAGGTTGTGCAACTTCAAATTTTGCTTTGGAGGAGTGGAAGCTTAATTACAATTGCAATATTTTCAGTATCAATCCTATGTTGACCAGAAATGCTTTCTTTCACTTACCAAGCAAGACTGCAGAGAGATTTACCACAGACCCTGTACATTCATTACCCTTTTTTGACTTTTCTTCTGTTGAAGATCCTTGTAAGGTATGTTTGGAAAAGTTGGCTGCTGGTTCCTCACCTGAAATATTTGAGAATTCAAGTGTGTCTGCAGTTAGTGTTGAGAGGGATCAGCATAGTCAGCAACAGTATGCTGTAGATGAAATCCCTACTGATAAGACCAAAATGTCTTGTGCTCATCCACATTTGGACTCGGAGAATCACAGCAAAGATGTTTCTGGAAAAAATGTTTCTGGTAGAAATAGTTGGGAGACTTTGCTTTTCAGTTCTTGCAAGATTGACAATAATATTGTTGGAGATCACTTGCAGAGTTTCTTGGCCATCTTTGAGATACCACTTGACTTTATTATTGACAAATGCTTACTGCAGGAAATCCAGCTTCAGTATCCTTTTCTCTATGCAAGGTTTATTCTGACTGTCTTCCTTTTTTTCACTTCTTATTTTAGTTGTTAATATTAGTGGCCCAATGAGTTGTAAGGTTTTCTCAGGGTCTTGCCCAAGATATATTCTTGTCCCCAACAAATTTTTATTTCTGCCAGTATAAATTTCGATTAATGCTATAGTCACCGGGAGTAGTGCACTGAATGACGTGGCGCAATCCTGACCGTCGATTAATATTCAGTTATAATTAATAGAAGGTCAGGATTTTGCCACGTCATTCGGTGCACTACTACCGGTGTCTCTATTATTTTCCATAAATTTCACTAGAGTAATATGTCATCAGAAATTCAGTTATGTAAGTAGTATTTGAAACATAAAAACCTGTTTGAACATAAGCTGTTGGGACTTGAGGTTTATATACATTAGTACTTTGTATAAACTTTCATAAGTTTTGGTTGACTCTACTCCTCCCCAAACAAAAAAGAAGAGGACAAAATTTGCGGATTTTTAATATTGTATTGTAAGCCGGTTTTTCTTTGAGAAGTTCTTTCGATTGTTTGAATAGTGGTTGCAAATATCATACCCGGTCATGGTGACTTTATTGAAGAGCAATCAATGTACCATTTGTACTTCTCCTCAATGAAATGTCAGATATAATTATATTAGCAAGTTGACAATCAAGTTGCTGGAAGAAGGGTTTGATTTGCATGAACATTTGTTGGCATTGCGCCGGTACCATTTCATGGAATTAGCAGACTGGGCTGATCTGTTTATCATGTCCCTTTGGAATCATGTATTTCTATCTAGCAATCACTCAATTCATTTAAATTATTTAAATATCTGACAGTAGTTCCTTCTGATTCCTTGCTTTCTTTTACTTGAAATACAGAAGTGGTCTGTGGGAGAGTCTGATCATAGAGTATCAGAAATTCAAGGATTCCTTGAATCGTCAGTTCAGAGGTCTTCTTGTGAACGAGACCATAATAAGAACAGGTTATTTGTATACATTAAAGGAGATGGAACCCTGCCTCTTTCAAAATATGCATCTGGTACATTTTTTATTTTAAATGTTTGGCACTTATCTGTCTTCCTGTTCATTTTTGTTAAGCTAGAATTTGGCATTCTTGTTTCTTTTTTCTTTTTCACTTTCTTTTTCTTCTTCTTCTTCTTCATTTTTATTTTTATTTTTTAAATATGGCTTATATCCTTTTTTTCTAACGTTGCCTTTGTTAATCATTGCAGGAGTTCATTCATTTGATTTTTTAGGTTTGGGTTACCAAGTGGATTGGCCAGTCAGTATCGTTTTGACTCCTCGTGCGCTGAAAATATATGCTGATATATTTAGTTTTCTTATACAATTAAAACTTGCTGTTTTCTCATTGAATGATGTATGGAGCTCATTGAAGGTATGATCTGCTGGTACCGACATTCTTCATATTTAGCATAGCACCTGATGTTAATATTTCTTACTTAGGAATAGAAAATCAAAGGGGTTGGCACCACTTGTGCAGGTTCTTACTAGATGGCACTACAAGATGGATTTTTTTTTTTAATTTTTAAACTGCTTTTAATTACTCTTCCAAGTGTTATAATGTATGTGTCACATGTGATTTCTCTATTTAAATAAACATTTCTTAAGGATTGCTTATGTATCTTTATGGTCCAACTATAATAGAATTTTGTCATTGTACATTCATATATCTCCATTTAAAACTCATTATGAATTTTTTCCCCATATTTTTGGTTGCCTTCTACATTGTGGATTTGTTTAGTTTCTGTTGCTTGATACTTGGGCTATTAAAATACTGTTTTGAAGCTTATTTTGTTCAACCTAATCGAAAATGTAAGTTTGACCATTCTAAGTTAATTAATGTTCTGTGCAGGATTTAGTGCATTTAATTAATCAGAATTGTTCCTCCACGCAACACAAAAGGGAAGTGGGTCATTTTAATATACTGGTTAAGTTGAGGTAAACGAACCAATTATTCCTCTTATCTGCATCTTTCACATTAATTTTATTTTTGTTTTAATAAGATACTAAAAATTTATTAAAAAAAAAATTTGAATACTAAGAACAGAACTAAAAATCCACAAACTATTATTTTTTTTTCTCTGCTGGCATTAAGTGCTTCTCATTTAAGTTTTCTGGTCTTTCAATATGATATGCTAAAGTTTCCCCCCAAAATCTCTTTATATGCACTCTGAATCAAGGAAAAAATAATATAGGAGAAGTAATACAAAGAAAGTACCAAAAATTGTGTCTTGCCCTTATGGTGTGTGGTGTGTTCAATCATATCTTCCTTTCTACATCTTTGCTTCTCATGGCTAGATTGTGCAAAGAAGCCAAAACAGCTTGGGTCAGTCCATGTACATGTGATGCAGTTCTGGTCGAACATATTCTTGCTTTTGGCAGTGGAAAAATTGCCTAGATTCAGTTGAAGTGTGTAACATTAGCTCTCTTTTGATAATATGGTAATAAAGAGAAACCATAATGTTGGAGTGGAAAACAAAGGAAAATAGTGGCAGTTTCTGGGATAAGATCCGGTTGTATGTGTCATATATTGGCTTCAGTTTGAATGAATGTTCACAATTCTTCTTTCTATATTTATCTTAATCAGGAACTTGGATAATTTTGTATTTGTGGTTTTCTTTTTGATTATAGAGGGATCCGTATATATTGTGAACCATGGATAAATCATTTTGAGCTTTGTATAGGATGGATAATCCATTGTAGAATTTGTCTTCAACATGGTCTGGTGGTCCATATATTACGTTTGCTTTAATTTTCATTGTTATGATCTCTCTCTCCACTGGGTTCTATGTCTGGAGGAAAGTCTCAAAGGCCATTGGCATTTGGGAACTGGAAATGCTGACATCGGATTTGACTAACTTGATTTTCCAAAGCTTTTGGATTGCTGTCTGCATCTGATTCTTTGTACTGTTATGTGGTCCTACTTTAACAGGTGCATTTTTGGAAAATAATAACAGTTAAAGGAAATCTTGTTGAGAATGCAGCCGCCAATTAGAGTATTAAGCAAAATATGAAAAAGAATAATTCAAGGCACAAGATTTTATGTGGTTCGGCTTATAACCTACCTTCATGGGAAAAGACAGCAGAGAAATTCCACTAATAACAAAAGAGATTACAGAATAAATCCTAATCCCTTAGGAAACCCAAACCCCCCAGTACACCCAAAGCCTTGTATAAAACAATAGAAGAAAATAGAGACAATCTTCTAGCTTTGGGTCCCTATGCTAATTGGCTATTTTGTGTGTGTATTCTCAATGAACTCTACACACCTATTTATAGATGTGAAAAACTGAATCCTAAAAGGAAAGGTAAACTAAACCTAGTAGGGTAAGCAAACCAAATTTAGGAATATTAAATCACAAACCTAATTGAATACAATAGAGTTCTTTTTCCAATAGAGAAAAGTTAAATTCCTTAAACTAGAAGGAATAGGTGACTTGCAATTTAAGTCACACTACAACAAATATGTTGTCATTATTTCAAGAATTCCTACTTTACCCGGGGTTTCATTTGAGTTAAACTTATATGATTTATGAAATTTCCATTTCCAATCACGTAATTCCAACATTTATTATTTCTTTGATTGAGCAGGCACCAGATCAATCATTTTGTATCTACATTACAACAATATGTGCACTCGCAGTTATCACATGTTTCATGGTGCAAGTTTCTTCATTCCCTTAACCATAAGGTTTGAATCACCTTTATTATATTTTAGTTTATTTTTATATATAATTTATTTATCTGTTTTGCATGTAAATTTAAAAAGTAGCCTGTCTTTTTTTTTTTTTTAAAAAATTGTTTCATATACCTCTTTTCTTCTCTGTAGTTGTATTGTCATATCCTAGCACGGTCGTGTTCATTGTGAAACTTAATTATTTAACATTTGAATTGCTTTGCCTTTTGACGTGACGAGTTTTTCCATTGTTGTAAACTTTATAATTTTTGTTTATGTCGATGGGAATGAACATCTATAGAAGGATGACATGCCACTGGTAAACGAATTTTGTATTTTATCTTGTCATTCAGTGCATCTTGATTAATTTGTCTTTAATCTTTTTCTTTTCTCTTTTCCATCTTTGATTAATGTTCTTTTGAAAGATAAAACTGTTTCTTCAGTTTAGTTGATCTTAAAATTGCCTGTGGTTATTGTAGGTAAAAGACATGATGGATCTTGAGTCAGTGCATATGGCATATCTATCTGAGTCGTTAGACATGTAAGTTTATGTTTTATTTTTGTTCAAAGTCTGAGACATCTTATATTTATGTATATATTACAGATTTAGGATATACTTGTGTTGAGAACTAAAGATTCCTGTCTGGATCTTGACACCCCTCAGACCCAAGTTTTTAATTTACAAGTTACCTGTTTGAAATGTTTTCAGGTTTTGAATGATTATTGGATTATTATTTGGATCATTTTAATGATCCATATAGAGATATGATGTTGAAGCTTCTTTTATATGCTTTATAGTTAGTAAAATATGATAGTCGCTACTCCTACATTCTTCATAATGAGGCCCCAGTGAGGTTACAAATATCAAACATCATTATAAGATCCCAGTGAGGTTGAGAATATCGAAAATCGTTGCCTTTGCTCTTAGATTTCTTTTAAGAAATTTCACTCTATGCTTTTATTTTGTTAGTGCCTTTAATAAATTGAAGCTTATGAAAGAGCCAATCTAGTGGCATGCATTTGGTGAGGGGTATTTATGTAATCAGCTCTATATTTTTCAATCTTTGATATAAACATTGACCTCTTCATGCAACAGTTAGGAAACTGGTACCATTTGAGTGGAAGATGATGACCACAACAAAGTTCATCCAAGTTTATCTGATATGGAACCTTCTCAAACGTGATAAATGGATTGATAATATGATTTAATAGTTGCTGTTTGTTGTCGATTCAGTTTTTTTTTCACTGTTTATAGTATTCAGATTGTAATTACTCAAGTCAAGGCTTGTAATCAGAGTGATGGTAACATATTGATGAAGAGGAACATAAATAAGTGATATTATGAATACAATAAGTCCACTCTTTTGTACTTCCTCACGAACCATAGTATCTTGCTAGAAATATTCATTAAGATGTATCTAATCCTGCCACACCAGAAATTTTTTGTTGAACATGCTTGAGTAGGACATTAATGTCACTGAAAATGATTATATTGGAATTTTGAACTGCAAAACTTCGTGTTTTCAGTGTTTGTATATGTGCACACTGAGGCAAAAAGAAGAAAAACAAAAGAAGCAGTTACAGATATATCCTCTTGTTGGTCTCCTTTTTGAGTATGTAAGACATGTTTTAGATGCACATTGGTATTTCTGGTGTAAGGGTGACTACGTAACTATATAAAATTTCAGGTGAACTTGGAAACGGAGGTGATACAGTATGTATTCTTAAGGACATTAATTCCTGATAACCCCCTCCGTTCTTGTGTTTCGTGTTTCAGTGACTTCACCTTGGTTTTTTCTTTTATTACTTTGCTTAGATAGGCCAATTTCTTCTTTTATTATTTCATCTTGATTCTTACAAGGAAATGTAACTTTTGCAGATGTTTTCTCTCTGATGAAGCACAGTTTATTGCCAGTATCATAGAAGGCATTTTACAGTGTGCACTAGACTTTCGGTCTTGTCTTACCAGAGGAGTATGGGATATCACCCACGATCAAGGGGATTTACTGGGAAATATATCTAGAATCAATATATCCCAGGTGATTCTTGCATCTTTTTATCTATTTTGCTTAAACAACTTACTTTGCATTCCATTCGAGTGGGCACTAAGATCAAGATTACTTTGCATTCCATTTGAGTGGGCACTAATAGCAAGAGAGGACTTATAGTTCATAGATATGGACATGGGGACTGTGCTTTTGGTGGTTTAAGATCTCAGGCTTGACACCTCTGAATATCAAAGTTAGATGCACCTTCTATGATTTTTGTTTTTTTTTTTTTTTTTTGGAAGTGACATTATATCAGGTATTTGATTGTCTTTGAGTATTCAAAAAGTTACAGATAGAATTATCGGTGCACATTCTGTAGAAGTATTTCCCATTATTTAGTGTAAAGAAATGGTAGACAGGTAGAGCTGCTTTCTGTTATATTGTTTCGTATCTGGTTTATTGCTGGAACGTTAAATGATTCTTATTTGTCAGGATTTTCTATACCAGATTATATTTAGCCAACTGAACTGCATTTTGTTTTTCCTTTTACAGGTTCATGCCATAAAGCAAAAGTTCAATAAAAACCTAAAAGAATTGCATCTGTGTTATCTCAAATCTCCTAAACATGTGGAGTTTGGCCTTTCCCCTTTTTGGGGATATCTCAACTACAATGAGTATTACACGGATGTTGGCAATGAAATTGGTCGCCATGCCTTCTCGGTCTAAGACTCTATTTGAGGCTAATTGTAACAGCGTGAGGATTGGAATCCTATTGGTAAGAATTGGTTTGGGAAAGATCAATCGTAAAATAACTAAATTCGTAAAATCGTCATTCTTTTCTGCCATACTTGACAGACTTCTCTATTGAATTGATTCTATTGCTAATTATAATGAGATGTCACGTAGGATTGAGCACGGGTAGTGGGTAGGACCGGAACCTGCAGGTAGAACCAGAATCGGAATCGGAACCTACCCGAAACCGACACTGTGCTGTTCCTGTTCCAGTTTCGGTTCCGGTTCCTACAGGTTTCAGAATCGGAATCGGAACCTAGGAAAAAGAACCTGAAGCGAGTATCCAGCTTGGAACCTGTTTGTGTTTTGGTTTTAATTGATAAATTTTATGTGAATTGTGATGAATTGTTTGAATTCAAGTGTTGCCTAGAGATTAGAGGATTTATGAGTCACATTTGACATAAATGAATGAGTAATCAAAAGTTCAAAACTACTAAATATAGGTTTTCTTAATTTGTTAGGGGTGTATTTATAAACTTTTAAGGTGTTTTTATCATTTTTTAAACTAATGGGGGGTACTTGATTTTTTACAGGGTACCTGGGTAAGGAATCGAAACCTGCATTTCAGGTCTCGGTTTTGGTTCCTTTTTTTGGGAGCCTGCACTGTACGCTTTCGGTTTTGATTCCCCTAAAAAATGCAGGGTATTCGAAACTGTTCACCCTTAGAGATGTGGACGTTGAGTTTTAACCATACTCTGGTGGGAAATGAGAGAGGATCTTTTTTTAGGGATTTGGTGTGCCTAGTTATTTGACATGGAATTATTAGAGTTGTGTTTTAGTAGCCAAAGATAATAGGGTTATTTTGTGCAGAACAGAAAATAGAGGGTTTTATTTGATATTATGATTTGGATATAGGCTAAAATTACATGAGCTGTACATGGTTGCATTGTTGCAACCGTGTATTTTTTATTTTATCTACTTGGTTAAAGGTGTTGATACTTTTCTGTATTCGTAAGGATAAATTGGAGAAAGCAGATTCTAAATTTGATATGTTGAGTTGAGGTTTTTCTTTGTTGGGATTAAAATATGAACCTTCAAAATGGATGATAATTCCAATTTAACTCAAATGAAACAATGCCAAAGAGTACTTGATATAATAACAAAAATCCTTTTGAGGTTTTGGAATAATAGAAGTCTTTTTTTTTTTAATTAATGAATTATTAGTGAGCCATTAAAATTAAAATTGATATGAGTTAATAAATATTATCAAATTGTCTCCCTAGCATTTATTTTAACATCTAAAATGACAAAAAATTTCTGTTATGTCTAAAACTTAAGGGGGATTTTGTTATTATATCATACCTCAGGGGGATTAGTGTTATTAACTTGATGTTTGGTAATTAGAAACATGGTTTTATAGATCTAGATGACTTTTAAGTACAATTAGATTTATTAAAAATTCACCTTATATATGAAATTTATATAACATGTTGGGGGTCAATTTGTGATTAAGAAAATATTATAAATTAATTAACTAAAACTGAAAATTCAAAATTACAACAAAAAACCAAGATAAGGATCAGACTGTATAAGTCTTTAGAGTAACTTTGTTGAAGACAGAAAACTCCCCTTTTCTTTGATCCACTTGATGGAGTTTAATCAGCAACTCTTCCTTTGAGTGTATTGTAGGAGTTTCACCGTCTAAAGATAGGATAATTTCGGAAAGAAAGGTTGTGAAAATAAACAATCTAATAAATTGTAAAGATTTTATTAAAAATATAAAAAAATCAACAAGGTAAACAATGGAAAATTAGTTTTTCAAAGAAAGAAAATACAAAAAAAATAGCCTCCAAAAAAGAGAGTTTCCGATATGTGCACCATTTTGTGAAAAGTACAAAAAATAATAATAATAAAAAGATGAAAGAAAACATGATTTTCTCTCTTTCGATTGCTCAAAATAAGAATAATTTCTCTCTAAAAAAAAATTCTCTTTTATTTATTTTCAAGAACAAGAGGCCAATTATTTTGGTGAAAATTTAATAGAATTGAATTATGTTCAATGAGTGTATTGTGAATGATAATGGAAAGCTTATGAGAAATTCTCTTGTATAATCATAACACTAATTTTAATTTTCAAAGTTTTAAGGTGTTGTCAAAAGTCTCAAATAACTATAAAATATTGTGAGTTAATCTAATTGGCTTCAATGAAAATAACAAAGGCAACAATAGTAAAAATGTACTAGACTATAAGTAGATTTGTTTTCACCTCTGAAGACTTAGAAAATATGATTGTTTTATAGCAAGATATTTATTAATTGTTTGGTTTTACCTCTTAAAACTGAAAATAAGTTATATTCCTCTTAATGAAAAAGAAAAAAAAAAATCACCTATTTATTTGCCTTAGATGAGTTTTCCTAAAATATCTTGGATAAAGTTCACTATTTTTTATATATAATAATGTATTGAGTAGGTATTGTTATTCTCTAAATATTACTTTAATAATTTTCGCAATTTTTTATATATAATTCTCATAATTTATTTATTAAGAATGAATTTTGTAAGCTAAAGATAACCGAGAATTTAATTATTTGCAAAATTAAAACATTTTCATTGTATTTTATAAAATTTAATGATTAGTAATACAAGTTATAAATTTATATCATACTTGATATTGATAAAGACATTTACGTAAAAATACCAATTTTCAAATATTTAAAATTTAGAAATTCAAACACTTAATACTTATAATTAGAAATTCAAACATTAAAAGCAAACATACCTTAAATATTCCATTTCAATAATGTTACTCTTTACAAAACTTATCCCAAATTTCATATCCTAAATGATGTGTCATCATATGTGGCATTGACATGTAGCTAAGTGATGATGCATTGACACATTATTTGGGATATGAAATTTGGGATTAGTAGTTGGGATGAGTAGTATTACTCATTTGATTTAGTCTTATTCAGTCAAAGTTAATCAAGAGTTAGCACTATATAGTTACCAGACAAATTATCAACCGATAACTAAGTCTAGTATAGTCAAGCATGATCTAACATATTTTAATCAACTTGAATGCTAAACTATCCAGTCTAATATGGTTTAATCCTATTCTAGCGTTATATATTACAAAATTTATTCTTTGTTGTTTTATTAAAGATATAACTAATAAAATGTTTGATTTACGAGCTAATCAATGATGAGATATCATGTAAAGAGTTATAAGATTGGGTTATGAATCTAACATTATTGCATACAAATATCTAAATCCAAATAAGCATTGTTGATTTTTTTATTTTACTTTTTGTCCACGCTACAACTCACCAAAATTTCTAAAACATTTACTTTCATAATACATGTGTAAATGAACTCGTATTGTCCAGTATCAGTTGAGGTTGATGGATAATAGACTTCTTGGACTTAATTAAATCTCCTTTTATATTTCCTCATTTGACCTCGCTTAGTAGAAGTTGTACGGAACTTTTAGGTCTTATTGCACTTCCCTGACAAAAACAAACGTCGACCTAAGGAATTTGCTTTTGCGGTGAAAAACCCTAAACCAAAAAAAATCCTATAAATACACTAATTTTCTGCAATCTAATGGGCTATTAGTGCTATTGCGCAAAGAATTTTTTTCTTTGAAGGTGAACGTAAAGATCACATCTTAAAAAGAGAGTCTTATGAGTTGTTTATATATAGAAGAGAAAATCACCTTCTCGACTCCATAATATAATATATGATCTAGACGTATATAATTAATATTATCTCTTTCAATCGAGGTTTTCTTTTAGCTATTAGAAAGTTAGCAATATCAAGGGTATTGTTTTGGCTTTATTTGTTTAATAGGCTGTTGTCCTGATGCATGTTGGGTGAACAGCCAGTAGATGCTAGGGCCCGTTAACATCAAACTGCTCATAAAAATAATATAGATGTTTTTTTCTATCTAATAATTCGGCTAAGCATATTAAGAGTGCTTTATGACACCACTGTCGTAAGAAGCCAAATCACAAAGGTCTAATTAATCACTTTTGAAATTGACATAGTTAAATCATAGTATTTTATTATTAATGCTAAGTATATAAAGATGAATTCAAAGTAACTGACATGACGATTAATATATTAGAGAAGTAAATCTTTTACCAGTTCAATCTATTTAATATAGTATTAACAAACCATTGAGAACATCAAATCCACAATTTTGGTACTAGCTCAGATTGCAAAACCACCTAATACCACAAGTCACTTGGGGGTGTTTGTCTAAGCTTATAAGCTGATCAAACTTGCTTATAAGCTCTAAAATTAAGCTGACCTATTTGTTTATAATTTTTTTGAGCTTATAAGTTGAGCTTATAAACTAAAAAAAATAAGTTGGGGGGAGGTACCTTTTTTTTTTTAGCTTTGCTTATAAGCTAATTTGACCAAGTATATCATTATCCTTATTTAATTTTAAAATTCCATATTATGTCATTGTTTAATGTAGTAGCTTTTTTAGTAATTTTATAATAAAATGTACTTATAAGCCACATTTTACCAAACATGTCAATTACTTATCAGTCACTTATAAGTACTTTAACCAAACACGTAATTGCTTAAAATTTCAAATGCTTATAAGTTAATTTTAGCTTATAAGCAATTGTTGCTTATAAGCTAATTTTCATAAGCTCAGACAAACACCCACTTATCCCTCAAAGAAAAGTTAGAATAAAAAAATATATCCATATTAAAGGAAACCAAAAGTTTGACAATGTTTTTCTCTTGATTTTTTAGCAAAAGAACCAGCCAATATTGCAGTTGGAAAAGTAGATCAAAAACTGGAAAACAAAGGCGGAGGTGTAAGTAATTTCTTAAAGATTGTAAACATAAACAATCAAACAAACATAGATCTTATAACTTCATGATTTTCACAAACAAAATAATTAAACAATTATTGTAAGAAAACATACCTGATCTTAAAGCCATGATAATAAACTTTTGAGATAAAAACTGATTTCTCCTCTCTTAACTCTTTTACATATAACGCTAAAATTTATGGGGAAAAACGTTAACTCTTATGGGTAGAGGGAGGACCGATTTATATATAGAATAACAATTAATCTGATACATCCATCAAGTATCCATCAAATGGCTAGGATTCATTATTCAATAACCACATGTAACAGTAAAATTTATTTGCACATGTAAGTGATAAAAAATTATTGCACATGTAACCTACAAATTTAAAACAACTAATAACTGCCAACATTTGAATTAAATTCAAATTAGTGGACAACTAATGAGCCACTTCCAACAGTCTCCCACTTGGCTCATCTGATAAACCAACATAAGTGGTTAATGATATAACATCAATCATGCAATAACAATAAAACCTTGCTTTATGCCCATCATAATCGATCACCTTAGCATAATAAACTACTAACTGTGAGTCATGACGGTCATATGTTGTTTATGTAACATATTTCCTTCCATACACTACTACAAATAGTAACTCATCATACTCGGTCTATAAGTTATATAAACATAATGGTCCACGATTATGTCTTAAAAGACTATCCTATTTTCTATGTCAATTATGTATATATATCAGAAACACAAATTATTGAGCTCAGAGTGTCAAATGCATCAATTATTACTATCTACATGTTCTTTAAATGTCTTTGGTTGCAATCCTTTAGTTAAGGGATCTGCAATCATGATATCTATCCTAATATGTTCAATAGACACTTGTTGTTTCTGAACTTCCTCCTTAACGGCAAAATACTTTAATTCCATATGTTTAGCACCTCTTGAGTATTTGTCGTTCTTGGAGAAGAAAACTGCTGTAGAATTATCACAGCAAATTTTGAGCGGCTTGATAATGGTGTTGACAACCTTAAGTCCTGAAATAAAGTTACGCAGCCATAATGCATGAATTTTAGCCTCAAAACATGCCACAAACTCTGCTTCCATAGTTGATGAAGCGATAACAGTTTGCTTAGCACTTTTCCATGAGACTACTCCTCCAGCTAATAGGAACAAATAACAAAAGTAGATTTTCTGCAATCAAGGCATCCAGCAAAATCTGAATTTG